TTTCCCCACAAACCTGCTCTGATTTCCCTCAAATTCTCTGGACACTCATGGAACAACACCCTCTGGAAGGATATTATCCCTTTCCTGGAGCTGAACCTCCAAGTGCCAGCCTAACCTGGCAGTTTGGGCAGCTCCAGGTGCTCCCTCCTCCTGCTCCTCAGCCGCTGTGTTGCTCAAACTGCTTCCCAGAGCCACCAAAACCTCTCCAAAGGGTTTTTCCCTCAACCAACCAGCAAACCAAGCCCTGCTGAGGCCACACAAAAGCCCTGCCCGCTCCTCACCCCGTCCTCTCCATCCCCTGGCACCAAGGCTGAACATTTATCCAACTCCAGGTAAAAATTGGCACCTCTGGAACTTGTTTTCCCAATTAAGTTTCCTCTGAGGGAAGCTTTGCTCCCACACTGTGTTCCCACAGAGGGCAGTTACTGCCTTCTCCAGCTGGGAGTCGTTATCCTCCCTCTCCAATCCTTATCCAAGTTCTCCATTATTGCATCTCCTTTGGAATCCTGGAATGGTTTGGCTTGGAAGGGACCTTAAAGATCATCTCATTCCACCAGCCCAGGGACACCTTCCACCAGCCCAGGCTGCTCCAACCTGGCCTTGGACACTCCCAGGGATCCAGGGGCAGCCACAGCTTCTTTGGGTAACCCATGCCAGGGCCTCCCCACCCTCCCAGGGAGGAATTCCTTCCTTATATCCAACCTAAACCTGTCTAAACCTGCCAGTGGGAAGCCATTCCCCCTCATCCTGGTTCTCCAGGCCCTTGGAAATAGTCTCTTTCCATCTTCCCTCCTCTTCAGGTCCTGGAAGGCCACAGTTAGGTCACTGCAGAGCCTTCTCCTCTCCAGCCTTTCCTGCCAGCAGAGCTGCTCCATCCCTCTGGAGTCCCTCCAACAGCTCCAGGTCCTTCCCAATCTGGGATCCCAGGGCTGGAGGCAGCTCTGCTGGGGGGTCTCCCCTGAGGGGCAGAATCAGATCAGCCCAGGGCATGGGGGGTCTCTGGGGCACGTCCAGCCTCTCCCCTGCCAGGAAACCGGGAATTCCACACAAGGAAAAGCCTGGGAAGGGCTGAACTCCAGGCTCCGCGTTCCCGCACTGGGAAACGAAGGAAGGGAGGGAAAAACTGCAGCCAATGGCTTGGACAGGGACACTGTGCTGGGTTAGGGACTGGCTGGAGGGCTGGGCCAGAGGGTGGTGGGGATGGAGCTGCATCCAGGTGGGATCTGGGCACTGGGGGTGTCCCCAGGGGGGGTGGAGCTGCATCCAGGTGGGATCTGGGCACTGGGGGTGTCCCTAAGGATGAGAGTTGGTCCCAGTCCTGTTTAATGTCTTTAGTGATGATTTAGGTGAGGGGATTGAGTAAACATGCAGGTGACACCAAGCTGGGGGGTGTGGATCTGCTGGAAGGCAGGAGGGCTCTGCAGAGGGACCTGGACAGGCTGGATCCAGGGGCTGATTCCAACGGGATGAGGGTCAACCAGGCCAAGGGGCACAACAACCCCCAGCAGCTGGAGAGCAGCCAGGCAGGAAGGGAGCTGGGATTTGGGATGGGCAGGAAGCTGAACAGGAGCCAGAGTGTGCCCAGGGGGCCAAGAGGGCCGATGGATCCCGGCCTGGCTCGGGATCAGGGTGGCAGCAGGAGCAGGGCAGGGATTGTGCCCCTCGAGGCCTCCCCTCGAGTGCCGTGTCCAGCTCTGGGCCCTCAGCTCAGGAAGGACATGGAGGGGCTGGAGCAGGGCCAGGGAAGAGCAGCGAGGCTGGGGAAGGGTCTGGAGCACAATTCCCGTGAGGAGAGGCTGAGGGAGCTGGGGGGGCTCAGCCTGGAGAGGAGGAGGCTCAGGGGAGACCTCCCCACTCTGCACAACTCCCTGACAGGAGGGGGGAGCTGGGGGGGGTCGGGTTCTGCTCCCAGGAACCAGCAGCAGGACAGGAGGGTCTCCAGCTGTGCCAGGGGAGGTTTAGGTTGGACATTAGGAAGGAATTCTTTGCAGAGAGGGTGCTCAGCCATTGGAATGGGCTGCCCAGGGAGGAGGTGGATTCTCCATCCCTGGAGGTGTTCAAGCCCAGACTGGATGTGGCATCAGTGCCACGGGCTGGGAACCACAGCGGGGTTGGATCCAGGGTTGGATCCAGGGTTGGACCTGACGATCTCAGAGGTCCCTTCCCGCCCGGCTGATCCTGCGATTCTACGAAACCTCCCGCCTTTTCCCTCCTTTTCCCGCCGGGAGCAGCCCGGGCCGGGGGTTCCCGGTGCCCCTTTACCTGGCGCAGCTGTGCCAGGTCGGATTTGTTGCCCACGAGCACGGCGGGCGTGTCGTCGGTGCGGCGCACGCGGTAGATGAGCTGCCGGAACTCGCGCACCTCGTGGAAGCTGCGCCGGTCGGTGATGGAGTAGCAGATGATGAATCCCTCCCCGGCCCGCATGTACTGGTCCCTCATGGCCGTGAACTCCGCCTGGCAACAGGGAATCCCGCTCCAAGGTCAGCCCCAGGAGGGACTGGGACACACTGGGACGGGACTGGGACACCCCAGGAGGGGCCGGGAGACCCCAGGAGGGACCGGGACATCCTGGGATGGGACTGGGACACTCCAGGAGGGACCAGGACACACTGGGACGGGACCAGGAGACCCTGGGATGGGACTGGGACACTCCAGGAGGGACCAGGACATCCTGGGAAGGGCCAGGACATCCCAGGAGGGACCAGAACACCCTGGGACGGGACCAGGACACACTGGGAGGAACTGGGACAGCCCAGGAGGGACTGGGACAGCCCAGGAGGGACTGGGACACTCTGGGATGGGACTGGGACACCCCAGGAAGGGCTGGGACACTCCAGGAGGGACCAGAACACCTTGGGATGGGACCAGGACACCCTGGGAGGAACTGGGACAGCCCAGGAGGGACTGGGACACCCCAGGAAG